CAGAAGTCGCAGAAGCGTGTTTCGAATAATATTACACATAAATCTATCACATTTATGTAGTATTTCATCACACTTTTCTTATCATCATCATCATTATCATTATTATCATCATCATTATCATCATTATTATTATCGTTTCCAGAAATTGTCTGCCAGCAACATTATTTCTTTACCTTTTTCCGCACCTGTATACGGTCGCCATATATGATCACCACTCTGTCCTTGCTCTCGTTCGTGGTTAGTTGATAGGACAAACTCTACGTGATTTTCGATCGATCGTTCGATGAAGGCAATAACGATCGCGTTATTATCATCGCCATAAGTTGTATTGTATTTGTTTTTCCGTGTTTGTTGATGTTTTCATCCATATTGTCGTCGTCGTCGTCATCGATGGCGGTTTCGTCCACCAAGTATGCCGAGGGCGATGATAAAGAGGAAAGAATGAGGAAGCGGCGCCGATGGATCCAAGCAGCGGTCATTGTGGTCGTTGTTGACATCGTCGAGGGTAGAAGATGGCACGGAAATGATGAAATAGAAGAATTTGATTGATTGACTTTGTAGATTTTGCGCGACTGTGTGTGTCTTTACTTGTGTTATTTGTGCTTTTTTGGTGGTTTTCTTAGATCGCGTACGCTTGCCGACACGAGAATCGGATATACATATATTATTTTGGCTCTATAATATATATGATATATACATATATATATATATATATCTCTCTTTTTTTTACTCTTAAAATACTCTCTCTCATTCAATTACTCGTCCGATTACTCGCATATATCCGTCGCTTTCTCTCGTTTTCTCTTTCGTTCTCTCAATCAAACACGTGGGTTTATATACATTATATTCTTTTACCTTCATTATGGTTACTCTAGGTTACATCCGCTAGATTACATCGACGAACAAGCATGTCTCAGCTCTGCTATGCGTCCGCAATGATCTGGATTTCTAGCATTAGATACTTATTTGTATTTTTACTTTGCCGACGCATCCTCTCATTTCTCGATTATAACTTTTTAATCGCTCTCAAGTCACAATGCGACACGGTGTCGATATTTCGCTTATCATTTTTATTTTTCATTCTTTTATTTTTTTTTCGGCTTGGTCGAAAAATCCGGTTCGATTTCGGTTTTTAGAATGTCGGTTTACAGCGCGCGAAGGGATTTTTCAGAACGAGGCCTCGACGAGGTAAGTGCCGTCCATGGCGACCCCCGTCTGCCCACCCTGGGCCTCGGATACTTGGGCCCTTGTAGCCGGGATGTACTGACTGTACGCCTGCTGAAATCCACAACCACAAGCACACACTACATTGTTGCACGCTAGGCATACCTATGCTAATGCTTCCTACGAGCTCTCCCTAAAGTTTCATCTACTCTCGCGATCTATCGATCTATGTATGTGTGTGTGAATGGGTGTGGAAATGAAGCTTTTTAGCCGAAATACCGTTTTTATTTTTATTCGCTAGTTTTACCTAACCGAACAAACTATTAGACTTTTTAATAGATTGATTTTTGATATCGATAAAAATAAAAAAGATGTCTCAGAACTACTCATTCGAATTATTTATTTTTCTATAAAATATGAATATGAACTTTTCTAATATAGAGTTTCTAATTATAAAATATGAATATGAACTTTTCTAATATAGAGTTTCTAATTAACAACAAATGATTGCAAGTATATCATTGAAAGGTTATTTGTGCCAGAAAGGGAACAATTTTTCATAGTGCACTTTTGTACTCTCAAATAAAAATGAAAAATAATTTCAGGAGATATGTTTACTCTCTTCCTTATTTATTGCAATTTCCGCTTCCTAGTTGACATTTCCAAAAATCATGACGGATGCATCATTATAAGCTTATGCGTACCGAAAGGAAGCAATAACTTCCTAATTTCACGATACAATCTTCTTCGTTCGATCTTTCAGTACGCATAAAATCGATTTCACCGATTTTCAAAGGGATATATATATATATATATATATATATATATATATATCATACCGCCAATCGTAGGCTTCACGACGTTTCGACTGATCCAATAACTACGGAAAAGCCTATAAATTGATTAAGTGACACGCATACTGCGCGCATCATCGACGAAAACGAATTAATTCGCAAACGTCGATATGACGCATGCATTCTGTCAACCGAGTCAAACAATTCGCATTCGAACGAATCGCACGTTTTCCGCTGATCCGCAAAGCGGTAAATTACTAAGTGCTTGCAGGCAACGCGATTTTCGACGCAATCATTTTCCGCCAAATTGCTACTGTAATAACGAGTATTGCAATGCAAGAGAAATAAAGATCACATATTCACATATTTTCTCCATACTCGATAAGTTTCATCGAAAAATTCAAAATCACGTTTATAATAAATTAAAGAAGTAACTATTCGAATTTATATATATAATTATGGAGATACATCAATTTTTTTTAATATAATTACTAGAGATTAAAAATTACATACACATAAATTAATATATCACATTTACGTAAAAAGTGCAAGGAAATAAGTGCATGTTTGAAACAATATATCTTGTGCTGCCAGCCACGGGAGTACAAGACGTACAATAAGAGACAGAACGAAGTCAGGAATTAAAGAGAGACGTTCCGTACATTATTAATTCTTACCTTATATACAAAGAAATATTTCCTAAGGACTTTTCACAAGTGTCAACATGTTTATAATACAAAATATACAAAAATATGTTAGATATATACATTGTCATTTGCATTATTTTTCCAAACAGGGCTTGAGTCAGTTTTAGCAATTCAATTGCTTAAAAAAAATACAATGTAAATACTAGCAAATATTTAAAAATACATTACATTCTGGGAATAATATTTCAGATTTAAAAATTTTCTCGTTTTTTTTTTAAATCCTTTCAAAACACAACAACAACAACGATAAATATGAATATTATAGATACAAAGAAATGTATCGTGGACAACACGATGGAAGCTATCACGTTTATAAAAAGTTAATATCAAAAAATAACTGAAAAAAGGGTATAAACTTAAATCATGCTATTCAAATTTATTAACATCGACCGTAAAAAATATCGTGTATTTATGAATTTTGATACTGCTATTTTCGCATCGTTTAAATCCCGATTGAGGTCACTAAAAAACCGCATCGTGCTTTTTTCGATCGATTGAAACTGCAGCGCGACGTTTACAGCCGATCTCATCGTACCTGTTGGACGCCAATTAATCAATGCAAATTGACGGCGAAATCGTAACATGGATGGACGTAGCGAAGAATCTTTATAAGTTATTAACGAAGGAGAAAGCGCTCGATTTCCAGATCGATTAATCACCCAGCCGGCTGTAATCGAGGCGGCTCGACAGGGTAACGAGTAATACGTAATTAATCTTGCTCACTGTGATGGAATAAGATTTTGAGCCGGAAAATAGCGGATGAGATAGTGTATATACATATGTAGTTATATATACAACAATCATACAGGATGTCGCAAAACTTGTAACTTGAGCAATAAAACGGTCGATCTTTGCGTAGAAGTAAAACGTAATTGTAGGCATAAGATTGTCGATATAATAAATTACTAAAAATATAGTTCATTCTATCGAAAAGATTCGAAATCTTTAAAATTAACGAAAAAGAGCTTAGATAGAATACTAAAGAGTTATATAAAGATTTTCAAAAATCAAGGGATTTAAAAAAACACCTAAAAAAGAGATTTATGATATTATAAATACAAAATTTAAATGTTGATGCGTTATGAAAGAGAAATTTCCTAAAAACAAAATTTTGCGACGACCTGTATAATCAAGATATTATATCTTGATGCATTTAATATACTTGTAAGTAGAAACAACTGAGATAGAAATGGAGAATAGAAATATAACGCGCAAACCTATAGTTAAATACAGTTTTCGATATTATGCAAAGTAATAACAATTCTGCGACTGGACATGCAATTACACGATCGGAAATATTTGATATGATATATGTACAAGATATAGCTCCGCACGACAAAGTGAATAAATTCGAGGCGTAATTGTATACTTCGCGTTTACATATGTTACACATAAATTAAGTGACATGTTGGAGAGAAATTCGGCACGCTCGAGCGAGTATTTTGAACTGACTGAATTTAACAGCACTTCCGCATCTCATCCTAACGATAATTTCAACGCAGCTTTAAATAATTGGATGACGCTTGAATTAATTAATCTCATGACAAATATGACAATCATGGTGAAATCACTTATTAAAATTAAATTAATAACATTGTTTGAGCAACAATAAAATCACTTGCAATAATGAACATTTTAATCCTACATTTTATGAATATTAATTAATTAGACTCGCCTAATATATTTCCAATCCTTCACATTTTCAGCTTCCTTGACATTTTATATGGTTTATTATCGTTCTATAATTCCTTCTTATCCTTCAATTTTCTAAGTTGTTAAGCATTGTAATTGTTTCATTTTCTAGCATATATAAAATGTTAATATTCCATTTTTACAATTCTTGTAATCCTTCATTATTTCAAAACAAGTCAAAATATATTTTTTCACTTATTTTATTAATCTTCATACAATCGACATTTTAAGATTAATAAATTTTTAATCAGTTTAGTTAGTTCTAGTTGTTTAATACATAAATTCGATAAATAAATTAATAACATAAATTTTATTTAATATAAAAATTTAACAGATATATGTTTCAAATCATATATTATGTATCACATTAATTTTCTACGATATATATTTTTTTGAAAAACCAATTTTCAAATTGTGAAAAATCTATACAAATTTGCAAATTATTGGTGTTTTCTGTTAAAGTGCGCGAGTTAAAATTACGCGCTCGAGCATGCTAGACCCTTTTTTGTCGCATGGTTAACAATTAACAGTAATAGAGTCGGGGACGGAGATCAAAAAGGCGGTGCTCGTTACTGGGTCGACGATGAGTAGTGGATCGACGGAGCTTTTTAGAACGTACACTTAAGATTCAATTTTGTCTTGCCTGGCTGATCTGAAGTGGGTGCTCCACTACAGGCTCCCGCTGTTCCTTCGGCTATGCATTATTCATAAAAGCAACTCGTGTTACATTATAGCGTGCATAATGCGCCGGTTAATCCGACGCGACGTCATCGCCAACGTTGGCGCGAGCTTTGATGACTTTTTGAACGGAAAAGTAGGAAATTATAAATATTAACGCGTGTGCGGATCTATTAATTTCTGAGCGTCTTCATGAAAAGTGAGCAGTTTATGGTGATCATGATTAATTATGTTGATTAAAGAGCCGAAAACTGATTACAATTTGATAATATTACGTTAAAGCTATTACAATAAAATTGACGTTAAATCTGCCCCACCTCGAATTTTTTATATCTCTCGGAATTCCACTTTTCCACAATCCAAAAGATTTGACAACATATATATATATATATATACGATAAACTTTTGCGCGTCAAGCTTAATTGAATTCCCGTGTCTGCGAAAGAAATTCCGATGAAGACTCGAATTCGCTTTAGACGAATCCGAAGATCCCCCAATATAAAAGTTTTGCACTCGAATCTTCAAAAGCTTTTCTTAAACATGACAGCCTGTCATTTGCACATATTTTCTGAATTTTATTGATGCTTTCCAAATTTACTTCTATATTATCTCAAAAATTTTAATAAACTGAACAAATATCGAAAGACAAACTGTAGATAATAATTTAAATAATTTCAAATTCTTTGCATTGCTTATATAAATAAGCATAAAATGGAACAATTACAAGTTTATATATGCGTATTTTTATAACATTTAACGAATAATAAAAAAAATCTTCTAATAAAAATTTTATCGTGTTCTAATATTAATATTGCTTTAAGAAAGAATGATAAACTACTAAAAACTTGTTATTTTCTCAAGTTTTCTGTCGCGTAAAATTGTCAAAGTTAATCTGAAAATATCATGGATTATTAGCTGTATCAACAATATGTCTCTTTCGAAGATTGTAATGGCATATCAATATTTTATATGGACTTAATGATTATAGACTTGGACATACAGCTATCTACATTCATACTTATATATAGCGCTTTATGTTGCACGTGCAAATCAATTTGCGTCATACCTGTGTAAAGACACAAAGCAGCGTCTTTCGGATCTCACACTCTTTTGTTATGTATATTCATATATTGAATGATATCGAGTTTTAATTCGTCACAGATTCTCGAGTAGTTTAAAAAGAAATATTCATAAAAAATGTAAAATACGTGTAACTAAAACTTTTTATATTAAAACCTATTTCTTTATAAATATTAACTACATGATGAAACGATTCTATTTAAAACTAAAAGACATATATTATGTCTTACGGCTGACGTGTATTTCAATCTAGCACATATTGTGTTAAACTGCTTCGTATAAAAATGTCTCAAAATGATCGGAATGAATTCGTAAAAATTCCTTCTAATTTTCAATATGTGACATAATTGCTTTGTCAATTAAATTTCAATTGAAAATTCTGTTAAAATAAATTATCGTTTGCAAATATATAATAATTACTTAACCTATGCACTATACCTTATTCATAAAATTACCGATTTATGTATAATTTTAGAAAAACTAAAGATTCACATAGATTGATATAGTTTCAAATGTATTTTCTTGTAAATCATCTGTTATTATTCGTAATCGCATAAAGCACAATATAATCGTATAGATCGGAATTACGGAATTGCAATTTACCGGAATCGATATTTTACATCGCGTAATACAGGATTATTTGAAGCGAACAATGAAGATATAATACTGTCGCTTATTGTTACTATTAATAGACTAGATTGTAGTTAATTATTATTCTGATTGTCTGCGTATTGATTAATCAATAGTTTCCAAATATATGAAAATTATAGAATTTATGTCCTGAAACATACTTGCGTACAAATATTTTAAACATTACTGTGTCACAAAAATTAAAATATTTTTCTAAAAATCCGACTTTTCTAAATTTGTTAAATAGTATTTTTAAAGATTTTTCTTAAATAAATATGTCATTAAATATTATATCGCGTATAAATATTAGTAGAATTATTTAATATCACCAGAGAGCATCAACAAAAATAAAAATAATGTTATATTTCAAAAATTCAAAACGATGCAAACGCGAGGATGACAAGTGTCGATTTCAATGGATTTTATGCAATAGGATCTTCTTCTCGAGCAAATCGACGTTGATAGAAATAAAAAGCATGAAGATAAAGCGATAGATATTAAAGAAAAGCTCAAGTAAAACGAAGCTTAATGAGTCCGCGAATTTCTGAGGCCGTCTGTCGTTCTCTTCCTGTGTATTTTTCATATTGCTATTCCTTTCATCTTGCCCTTTCCTCATGTCTACATAGAAGATCAACAAGAGTTTTCGTAACGAGCACAGGACGGTCGATCGAAGCAATTCGCCTTAATTGGAACGCGGGCTCAGATGAAAGAAAACGGATCTTATTCGGCCGGATTCTAAGGAATGAATTATTCACATGACATGCTTGCATGACCGGAAACTACCTTCAGAATATCTCTTTTCGAATTTTTCGCGAACGATTAAATTGACGATGCTCAGCAACTATCCTGTTATTTAATTAATATCGAACTTTAATCTATTAATAACAATCTTCGATCATTGAATTTAACTTCGACTTTTTCTACTCATTTACTCAACTCTACGGTTACTTTATGATTTATTAATATGCTGTAATATTTATATAAAAATCTTTCAGCATTATAAATATATATTTCATAAGAGTCTTTTTACTTTACAAATTGAATTAAGATATCAAATGTATGATATATACATATATATTGGATAAAATATCATACGTATAAAAATTTAAAGAACTAAATCTCCTACATGTTCCATATTATGTTACGTAAAAAATTTCTTATTGAAAATTTAACAGAAATAAATAGAAAGAATAATATACCGTTTGTGCACGTATAAATATGTATTTATGCATAACTCACAGAGCAACTTCTTCAACGTCGAAATCGATAGTCGTGATACTGCATTGTTATTGATATTGCCACGATTAAAATTAATTTGTCGATCAATGTATACGCGAATAGATTTGTGTATGCGAACGTTTCTCGCACGACGTGCATTCGTAATGTCTGTATCGTTCATTACATAGGAGGTCACGTGCGAATTGTACCAACCGATCGATCATCGTTTTGCAACGTGGGTATGCCACTTACCATTCAACGTATACAAACTATATGCCGCGTACAGACCTGTGCAAGCCACACGCAATCTATATGCAGTTGCGTGATTGCGGATTGTATAAATAATCGCGATCGTATTAATCCAGCCAAAGTATCCGGGAGCAAATTAATTCGTTCAAAATGCTTGTCAATGATTGAATTTCTCGATTTTTTATATCTATTCATTAATTAATAATAAATATGAAAATATAACAATAAAAAAAAAAAAAATGAAAGAAAATTAAATAAAAATATATCGTATATAAGATGTTTATTTTTTTTATTTTTAATTATCGTAAATTTTATTTCGCCAAATTTTATTTCTTAGCATACTTAATTATTTTTGTATATCAATCCAGAGTTTTTAATTATTATATAATATATTTATAATAAAGACCACAGGAGAGAGAATACAATGCCTTTGTGTAAAATATGTATTAGAGTGTCTCTCATTTCCTACGTCAATATTAATATCTTCTATTCTGGCTGATAACTTCTCCTTTTTTCTTTAATTTTCGCAAAAAATTATTATTACTATGTTAATTGAATTATTTGATCTATAACAAAAAGAGTGTGAGTTTCAAAAAGCGCAATTAACAACAGCTAATTATCCATAAAATTTCAATTTTTATAATATATGTTAAACGAGGAATTTTTAATTTTTAACACACGAATTTTCAATATCCAAGAACTGTTAAATTAAATAATATATATATTTAATATTCATTTATATAAATATAAAATATAAATTTTTGATCAAAAATTTTCGAAGTATGTATTTATAATAGCTTGGTTCCCATAAAATATCTCGAACAAGATAACGATAAGTTGCAATATGTAAGTGTCGTTTTACGACAGTGTATAGAGAAACGATCGAACCTACTTTCTTTATTCGCGCTTTATAAGGTGTTATACATCACGTGGCGCAGCCCTAAGGTCAGGGTTGTTGTATCAACTTGAAGTCGATAATTGTGCAAGGATGACCACACGCGGTTATGTACAGCGACTTGTAAAAACTTATGTGCAGAGACAGCGATTTTCTCGTCAAACGTTTATTTTTGGTTCGCCCGACTAACATTTTCCGCCATTTTTTTCACACTTTTAATTGTCCGCCGTAATTAGCATTATCGATTCCCATCTCTTTTCCTCCTAGTAAATAACGTAAATAAATTATTTCTCTTTCGCACGTACAATACGAACTTGACTATCTAGATTAACAACTGTTTGCATCCACCATGTGTTTAAAAATTTTATAAAAACAAGTAAATAATCTGTCATCTGTTACAAATATTTTGATGTTTCTTCATGATGTTTAAATAGCACTCTCTTTCTAATTAATTGTATCTATTATAAATTGCAAGATCTTTTTTCAGTAGATCCTGTAATTTTTATATATTTCATAAAAAAGTTTTTATATTACACACAAATATAAATATCACATCCGATAATTTGTTTCTGGTATAATCCGTTAAAATATTATAAATGTTGTTACAAAAATGCATAAAACAAAATCACTTTATCGCATTTGTGTGACGAGAGAGAGATTTTATTGTATAAAAATCCTTATAAATGATTACATTTTATTTTAAACACTTTTATTTATATGCGTTTATCACTAATTAAATAAAGAATATGATATTTATATTTGTACTAAAAAAAGTTGTGTGAGGAATAAAGGAGCTTTTTAAAAAAAATCTTAATTTCTTTATTTCCTTGATTTTGTTGATTTGATTTCATCATGTCGCGCTTAGGCCGCGATATGTGGGAAAAATAATCGCATTATCGAGAATAACAGATCGCTCTGGAATGTGGCAAGTATTTCGTAGCTAA